CACTTATTACACAAGCCTTCTCTTGCTCCCTAGAGGCAGAGAAACATCGCTGCCAGGCAGGCGGGGGTGTCTGCAACGTCACGAGTGACGGATACTACATTGTGAATATTCTGTGTATTGTGGTTGGTGTAGTGACGTTCTGGGGCTACATCAAACCTGCCGTTATGCGCATACAGGCGTTGCCGCTAAGGGCATGGAGGATTGCTGGATAGGTAGATGACCTACGAAGTGTACGATATAGATGCGAAGCTTGAATTTAGATGAAGGCACATTGCGCGGCTATAGGCCGCTGATCAAAAACTTTTGGACCCAGAAACATGGCAACAATCCGTCTCCAAGCCGCTTGCGCACGTATGTGCCGCGCTCGCGCGTTCTCCCGTGACCAGGCGTGCTGATCGGCCAATAGTGGGTGGCCTGATGCACCAGTGTAAGCCACGCCGTCTGGAGCGCATGCAGGTACGTTTGCGCCGCAGTACATGTCTCAGACCGCTCAAAGAAGGATCAAACTATGCAAGGGTTTGCTCACGAGCGGCCTGCAACAGTTGGGTGGTTATGACTTGAGATCATTGGGTGAAAGAACTTTAGCGGCTTGCAGTTGTCAGTCATCAGATGGTCTGGGACCGTTCTGTAAGCAGGCCGAGCCTCGACTCAACATGCCGAAGACGCCGATAGAAGAACATATTAGCTGGTGCGATATGTCAGGCCATGTGTAACGGCTGCGGCCCGGGGTGAACTAGCAAAGCTTTGAGGGATCAGATGCCTGCGCCTTCTCCGAGAATCTCGCAAACCCCCGAAGTCGCCGAAGACACGCTGTGCCAGCTAGAGTAGCCTCATACCTCGGAAACGTGCACAAGGCGTCGACGCTTACCTTCCTGCGGCTAGTCGCCCTCGACATCGCGTTTTGACATCTGTCGCAAATTGTCTGCTGATCTTGAATACTCTTTTACCTCTATTCCTATTCGCCTGACGTGTCGCGCCCTTTTCCGTCCGTCGCAGCATAAAACTACCTAGTCCGACACCTTGATCGACGTCCGACTTTACATCAACCCCAAAGTTTACCGCAGCCGTTGAACATCCAAGGGCCCAGCCAATCCTTTACCTACGCCAATCCCGCCGAGGTGCAACACTGATAACGAGTCCCCGCGAATCGTCTTATCTCGAATCCTACGAACAGTGTTGATACCACCTGTATCGCCAATCTTGTCGCGTCGTCCTTCTGTATTGTACGGACAATCGCAATGGCTTTTACAGCGTACCAACCTAAGGCGCGGGTCCAGAAGCCCGCGCCTCATTTCTCTGGCACTGCAGTCGTCGATGGCACATTTGAAGGTATGCGACTGTTTACCGTCTTGCACCTTTCTCCTTCCTTCACCCATTCGATTGCCCATCCGTCAGAACAACGTACTGACAACTCGTAGACCTCAGCTTAACAGCCTATACATCCACCAAGCAATGGCTCGTCCTCGGTTTCGTCCCCATGGCCTGGACTTTCGTTTGCCCGACCGAGATCCTTGCCTTTAGTGAACGCGCATCCGATTTCGCTGCCCGTGGCGCCAGCGTCGTTTTCTCCAGCACAGACAGCGAGTATAGCTTGCTTGCTTGGACAAACGCAAGCAAGAAGGAAGGAGGCCTGGGCAAAATCAATATTCCTCTGCTGAGCGACAAGAACCACAGCATTGCAAAGGACTACGGTGTGCTGATCGAAGAGGAGGGGATTGCGTTGCGAGGTCTGTTCTTGATCGACCCGAACGGCATCGTACGACAGATCACCATCAACGACCTTCCTGTTGGAAGATCGGTCGACGAGACTCTTCGCCTGATCGATGCCTTCCAATTCACCGACAAATACGGCGAGGTACGTTGCTTCTTATTCCCATGCACTCCCAAGTACGCTATATGCTAACATAGTTTCACTAGGTCTGCCCTGCTAACTGGAACCCGGGTGACGAAACCATCAAAGCGACCCCCGCAGGCAACAAGGAATACCTCGAAAAGCTCCATACTGACACCAAGATGTCTGACGTCGCCGCAAAGACAAATGGTACGGCTTCTTCGGCGCGTTGATCATGGCCGGCCAGACTTCAGTGTTTCGGAAACAGTGTGCTGATCTTCCTTCCTGCAGGGGCTTCTTGAAATGCAAATGTTTCGGCTTGCTTTGGTCGTGCGATATTAGCATATGCGTCTCGTCTTTCATCTATGATTAGTTGCATTGATCGGTGTTGTTCTGCCGCTGTCGCCTTGGCTTTCTTGTTGCAGTCTTCGGCTCAGCTACGCCCATCATACCAATAGAATCCACTCTATACAATGTTCAAAACTTTAAATCAAATGCTGCCTTGAACCTGATGGCACTGCGCGTATCGTGAAGCTTAGTTCGAAAGACGGTGGTCTTCGTCCCTTGATTTGCAACAGGCCTCCGATTCCTACATGAGCTCACAAATAACTTTAGCAAGATGGAAAAGCCCCAGAACTTCTGTAAAATAATACAGCCGCAAGCGTGTCGCGACATTGCGAAGGATGCGCGTTAGCTTCCGCTTGGCGCTACGGAAACAACGCGAACGCTACGGATCTGTACCTCTTTCGACATAGCCCACAAGAAGGGCCTCCAATCATGGAGCCACGCCTGAATACGCTACTGGACATCTCGAACCAAAGCAGCATGTCGTACTTCACAGAGCCATCGAACATGAGCTCACCTGGCTCGCAACGACCATCACACCACATTAATCACAGCTTCGTGCGCCCAAAAGCGCTCATGCTAACGAACGCATCTCCTGAGACTGCTCAGTCGAACGACCTCCGAAGAGACGGACAGGAGAGGCTATATGCCACACGATCGATGCCCAGTGCTCCGATAGCACAGGTATTGAACGATGAGGCGAATGTGCTCGAGGCCGCACAACCCGTGCCATCCACCTTTGCTCCATCAACAACACCTTTCAGCGGAAGGCTAGTTGATTTACTTCTGGATAGCCCGGATCACGCGAGGCAAAGATGGGATCAAGAGCAACAGTTTCTTCAGCCCGACAATACAGGATGCAGCCCAGCTGTCATCAAACTACCGAGGTTACCGCAGCCTCCCAAGCGGACAGCGAAGCGACCTAGAATCCCGCCGTTGCTACAGGGCTTGCATCAACCCCCGCCACTGCCGCCTGAGGGCAGGCTCTTCCCACCGATCACTGGAGAAAAGAATGCTTTCGCGGGCGACAGAGGGTATGATGCACGTTTTGAAGAGTCCAGGACCAAGGATGTGGACGAGCATGCCTTTCTCGAAGGGAATGTCATGGACTACAACAGAGCTGTTCAACATGCCGAAACCCCATCATTTTCCCAAGCGTCAGTTCCGCCTATATCTTCTAGTGTAATAGATGTGTCCCATGAGACAGATGTAGCAACAAACGCCTCCAAGGACTCTGAAGCGCTGTTACAGCCCAAGCGTGGGAAGAAGCGAAATAAGTGGTCTGAACAAGAGACCAAAGATCTGCTTTTAGGTGTCAGCAGGTACGGTATAGGCAACTGGAAGAAGATACTACAGGACCAAGACTTTGCATTTAACAATCGCACCGCCGTTGATCTAAAAGACCGCTTTCGTGTATGCTGCCCTGGTGAAGGTCTGAAGCCACGGCAGCCAAAGACCAAGGGAAAAGAGAAGATAAGCATGGTTGAGACACCACCGGATTTGCCAGATCAAGCCATTTACACTCACCAGCATTCTCTTCCCATTAGCGAACGGTACTCCGATAACAACCTCATTCCGAATTCTCCCAACCCGACCGAGAACCAGCAACGTGGAGCTACTCGCAATAAGGCTACTACGCAGCTGGATCTGGCCGAACTCGGTATCCGAGAACCATTCTCAAAAACCACCCGTCGACCACGCCGGGCCTTTAGCGCACGCGATGACGTTAATCTACTCAAGGGCTTCGAAAAATACGGGTCTGTGTGGCACTCGATGCGCGACGACGAGGATCTAGGGTTTGCAACTCGGCATCCAACAGACCTACGCGATCGATTCAGAATCCGGTATCCAGACAAGTACGCCAAAGCAGGATACAAACTCAAAGCAAAAGAGAAGGAACGTACACTATCGAAACAAGCACAAGAACAAGAACAAGAGAAACAGGACGATTCTTCGCAACAGCAAGACCACAATCCACTCCAGAACCATTCACACCACGCGAAATCAAGCCACTCGCAGAACGACATTGCCATCCTAGGAAAAGACATTCATTCCCTCAACAACAACGGACCAACCACAACCATGCCATCACACTGTCCGATCTCCAACAACACCACCACCACCAACAACAACGTCAATAATCTCAACCCCGCCCTAAAACCCTTCAACCCCTCCTCCTACCTCTCCGACCCCCTCCCCACCCTCCCCTTCGATGACCCAGACACCGACCTCACACAAGACATGAGCACCGTTGGCGACGAAAGCCCAATAACACTAAGTCGGAATATTCTCCGTTGGGCAGATGCGAATCCGTCGTCCCTCTATGCCTTGCCCGCTACTTCTGCGGCTTCTGCTTCGGCGTCGACGGGAAATGGGCTTGGTGGTAGTCTTGGTGGTAAGGGGGCTGGCGGGGGCGGGTCCGGTGGTGGTGGTGATGGGGGGATGGATGGGTTTATCGGAGGAGGGAGAGGTCAACAGCAGCAGCAGCAGATGGATGGTGGGAGGGGGATGGTGCTGCCTGAGGCGGATAGTTGGTTATTGGGTGGTGAGAGGGTTCCGACGTATGGGATGTATAGACATCGATCTTAGCATAGGCTCATGTGTTGCATGTGGCAGTGGGGAACGAAGGTAGAAGGTCAAATAGCCACCTCATGTTGGCATGGTGGGGACTGCTCGGTACAACGACAAACTTCAGTATAATTTTCCAATTCGGTACTCTCAAGAGCTCAAGTGCAGACCTATCCATCCTGTCTACATGACCCATGCCCTTCTCCCACATAAACCCGGGTATCACTTGCTCCCAACCTCCCATGTATCAAACCCACTATCTCGCAGTCTGGCAGATAGCAAGTGCAAATTCTCGGAAGTCTCCTCTAGTAGCCTCTTCGACATCCTCCTCAACGATACGGCCGTACTTCTCCTCGTACTCCGCCTTGACTCTAAGAAGATGCTGGCGGTCCCAATGTAATCTCACAAGACGCGAGATGAGTAGTTCGACTCGTTGTTGGCGTTCATGCTTGCTGGATGTTGCTTCGCGCGAGGACAGACGACTGTTGGAGGAGCGGCCGTCGTTTGCGGGCTCCATGAGGTCGACGAGAGCGTGGTGGAGGAGCATGGCATCTCTTGCAGGACGGTTGACTGGGACGCGTAGTTAGTATATGTCCAAGACCTGGGAGTAATGGGGCAAACACTTACTGACGCCATTGAGAATGTGCGCAATGACTTCACCAACCAAGTTGTTGCTCTTCTTGAGAGCGTCTCTCGCAAAGTTGCCTTGGTACTTTCTCTCATATGTCCTCAGCACCTCGCGCAAATGTGCGTCACTCCGCATGATGACAATACTGAGCATGGCACTTTCTCCACCTTCCCTGGCTCGAATGGCTTTGTATAGAGTATCGACATCGCGATTGCGATATTCCACCGGCCACACATCGCTTTCTTCCTGCCGATTGGCTTCCAGTGCCATCAGCACAGCTTTACGGAACTTGTCGGCTTTGAGCTCCTTGTCCATGCATCGGATGAGGGAATCGCTGTAGCGCTTGTCTTTGAATGAATCTTTGATCTCGCGGATCTCGTGGTTTTGTCGACCCATTAGCGATTCGATGAGGAGCTCTCTCTTCGCCGAGTTGGACTGGTACCAGTAGTTTGCCCAGTAGCCCTCGCCTTCGTATTTGCCTAGGGCCGTCACGTAGGCAATTTTGCCAAAATTACCGTTGGTCTTCAACTTGATGTGTTTGGCGATGTTGATACCCCTGCCTTGTACTTTGCAGTGTCGCTTGTACTCGGCTCGCAACTCGAGCATCTGGTCGTGTGTGAGGATTGGGAGGATTTCGCATATAGTCTCCACATCTGGCGTTCGCGCCGCCAGTGCGTCGACAAGGGCTAGAGCGTCATCAGTGGCATCGTATATTCTCGCTTTCCGTTTCTCCTTTTCGGGGAGGCGCTCGTCGCGGCCATATGCGGCCATTGCCAGCTTGTCGGTATGTCTGGAGGACCTTGAAGGGCTGGGCGTTCGTCGCGAGGAGGTGGAATGAGCACGGCGGCGGCGGCCATGACCAGACTCACGAGGGGAGAGAGTATCGAGAGGAGGCAGATGGTCAAGATCGTCATCTAACATCAGCGCCTGAGGCATAGGACTGATGGACTGATACGTTCCATGGTATGCTTCGAGCAGAGGACTCGGCGGCGGTAGTCCGGAGGGGAATCCCCCAGGCATGCCTCCTGGAATGATAGTTTGTATATCGGGTCTGTTCCCGCTGACGGACAGCCTATCCATGCGCAGCCCATCCGGCCTGTCGCCTGCGCCAAGGTGACCTTGTGGACGCATCTCTACTACATTGCGGCCGTCGTGTGTGCTCATTGGCCCCGAGTAGGAAGCAGCGCGGTGATGATCAGGGCGCGGCGAGTGGCTGCCCATGGGAGGAGGCGGGTAGAAGGACTGGTCGGCTGGCGGCGGCGGCTGAGGAGCCAGTGGCATGGTCGCATACTGAGATGGCGATGGAGGGGCCTGTGATGCGTACGGGGACTGCGGTGGCGGCGCATGTGATGCATACTGAGGCTGCGATGGGGGAGCTTGCGATGCATACTGCGATTGTGAGGAAGGAGCCTGCGGCACGGCTGTATATTGGAGTTGGGGCGTCGGGGGGTAGGAAGGGCTTATGGGCTGGGAGTTGTGCCGCACGACTGGCGGCTGGTTGTTGCTGCCCACAGGTTTCGCGGTATACTGGATATTCGTGGGCGGACTCGCATACTGAAAAGCGCCGTTGGTCTTCGCTGTCGCCGTCGGGGTGCGCGTCGGCGCGTTGTGGGATGCCGACGTTGCGGTATAGGCAAAGCCTTGGGCGGTCGGCGCATACTGGACGTTGCCCGGCTGCGCATACGCGACGCCCGCCGAGTTGGCTGCCGTGGTGGCAGGATGGGCGAACGAGGCGGACTGGGTATACCCTGGTCTCTCGTGGGGAGGGAGATCGGTGTAGTTCCCCATGGTAATGGGTTCGCTGGCTGGTCTGGTCGCCATATCTCAGTTCAAGTCCCGCAATGTCTGTCGCAGACATCTGGCAGACGCATTTCGCGCAGTACTCACGTCGCATATTGCTGACCCGGCTGCCTAATCTCATACTGCGGGGTTGCAGCGCCGTTGTCAGCTGCACCTTTGTATCGCTGAGGCTCGCGCCCGTCACGGCTGCGTGAGCGCGCACCCTCTCGACCGCGCCCAGGCGATTTGGACCGCGAGCGCCTTGACTTGTCGTCTGGCCGCAAAGACATGGCCTTGATCTTTCACTGCTCAATTGATGAGACTAATGTCAATTCTCGTGGTCGAGGTGTACGCGCTGAACACTTCGGTCCAGTGCACGGCGCCACGAAAATTGCGATGGCTGGAAGCTGCCACACCATTGCCGCTCCTTTCAGCCTCGCTCATGTTTGCATTGGGGGCCAAAACCATTGCTCAAGTCGCCATTCTGTCTGGCACCGGAGATCGGGTAGGCGCCTGCGCACATCGTGGAGCAGCTCCGTGAGTTCTTGTTGTAGCATCACGATGCAAAAGATGTCGTTGGTCCTGATATGCAAGTACGTCGAAAGTGGAGAGGGAGGCTTTCCCAACTCCAGTACATCCGTCCGCACTGAATCACAGTCATGATTCTTATCTTGCGTCACAGCCTCGAGCGAGCGCTAGAAACGCCGAAAAGCCTCTATCAGAAACTTATGTTGAGCCGCTCCAGCTCCGTAACGCGCCGATATTAACGTCGCCATCGGCGAAGACAGGAACTGTGGGTCTCAACTCACCGCTTCAGCTACCTGACATGGAAATATCGAGCATTCTACGCACATTACCAGGGAATGCTTGGTACCTTAATGCTTAGCCTATCCGTCTGGTGAAAAGATTTCAGCTCGAGCTGAAGTGGTGTATCGGCAGAGCGCCACGATGCATAGATAAACAAACCATGACAGCAGCTTATACGCGGTGACCATCAGCACGAGCCGCGCTATTCTAGTTGTCACTTAAAGCTGAGGTGATACCATTTTCAAATGTTACAATCGTTATTTGCATTCTATTAGAATCATGGCTGTCGTTATTCCACCTCCTAGTAATCTCCAGCCGCAATCTGCACTCCTTCAATTGCCAGCAGAAATCAAACACATCATATTTGGATTGTGTTTCGTTGCCGACACCCCCATAGTCGACCCCCGAATCGACGGTTCCAAAACGCGAGATGACAATGCCGTTCGCACGACACCAGGCGCTGCTCTGCTTCAGACATGCCGTAGAACCTACCACGAGATCGACCGCCGTCCACTATTCGCGCAGAACACCTTCCGCTTCTCAAATCTGACCGGGATGCGGGCTTTCCTACATGCGCTTCCTGTGGAATACAGAACGCGCATCCAAGACATCGAAATTGACTTGCGAGAGTTGAACTCCGATCGTCCTCACCTTGCGCGTGAGTGGCTGCAGTACGTTGCGCTAGCAAAGAATGGAGGCTTGAATTCATTGCGCGCTGACGCAGCCGGTCTACGGTGTCTGCGGATCAACCTAGAGGCGTGGCCAGTTAGTGAGTACTCTCAATCATAACTTCATGTGAGATATATACTGACATGGCATTTCAACTTGCAGTTGCTGTAATTCGGAGTGAACTCTGGAATTTTCTTCGAAACATGCTGTCGGAGCTCGAAGGCTTGGAAAAAATTGTCGTAACTGGATCGAGCAGAGGCAAGGCAATGGAACGAAGATTGCCATGGTCGCCGGTCCATTTTGTTGGTGGAGATGATGTTGGAGCCCACGACTTGCTTACTCGAATGAACAAGTGTGTCACCAAAACCGGCAGCGACAACGCCGTCAAGTGGCAGCGACAAAACGGCAGATTACAACTCGAAGTAACCTCCAAGCCGGGTTTACATGAAAGCGTTACCGCGCAAGGTTTACGAGCTCCAGAGAACGAGAACAGCGCAAAATTGTTGCCGCCGAGCGGAGAATGTTCCTTCTTTGCCTGCGAGAATCGCCAATCCTATGGAGAAGAGTCCGTGGATAAAACATCTAATCCCAATGCCGCCGAATGATGGGTCTCGCTGGGTCCCACGGACCATAAATCTCATTCTTGTACTTCTGAAGACCGATGAGCCACCAACTGCAGACCCCCATGCTCAACACAGTGAGGATGACCCCTACGATCGCACCTGCGAAGAATTTACTGCGACCTCCACCTGTCAAGGTGACAAAAAGACCACCCCACGCGCCGGTTACTAGAGTGATGGTGAGGGCGAGATGACCCCACGGAGATCGAGCGCGGAGCTGCCGACGGAAGATTGGGAATAGACCGTATATTTCGATGGAGAAGAGGGTCAACGAGAAAACGTGTGTGGTGGACGGCAGGCGTGATGCAAGAACAGCGGACGCCATCATGGCCGAATTCGTGGATATCGAAGCTGGTAATCTGTAGACATGCAACTTAGCCGTACGTACATCCAAAAGACTAGTGTCGTTCATACTGTGCGCCCGTGCCTGCGCTGTAGTCGAAAAAGGCAACGTTCATCATGAGAAGCCACGTACTCAGCGCCCATATCGAATCGCTTGTCGTAGAGCGCGTAAGTGACTTGAGAATTGGACTGAGTCCAAGTAGAGCCGCATAAATCAGCAACGCTGATTTGGCAGTCGCCAGGCGCTGTTGAGTTCGTCCTGAAAGTGCCGAGGATGGTTTGATTGCAGCTTGGTCTGAGTCTGAAGCGGGCGTCGATGCCACATTGGAGACAGTCTCGAATTCCTGTCCCATCCAATGATCCCATAAGAACCAGGCTAGAACTGTGCACAAAGTAGCCCACCCCACTACTGCGACAGGCGATACTCTGTCGTGAATGATAGCCACAAAACAGCAACAAAAGATGACCACTGTTGCAAGATGCTGCACAATAACGGTGGCATCACCCATCAGCGACCAGAACTCGTAGGGCTGTAATCTTGGATTGCGCTGGAGATGATCAAGAAATGTCGTTTCATCTGTGTAGTTATCGGGAACTGTATACGTCAGACCTGGTTGGAGATGCGAGACCGAGGCCTGCGTGAGCACTCACAGGGCTGCTTGAACCATAGTAGTTTCTTGTAATTGCCCTTTGCAGGTCGGTTTACGATTCGCGGCCCACCCTTCCTCTTCCTGCTAGTAGCAGCGAGAGATGCGCCCGCTGGGTCTAGTAGCCGGTTTTGGTACATGTCACACTTGTTCGGTTTGTCCGCAGATATGGTTGATGGTGAAGAGACAGTTCAGGTTAGAGCTAAGTCGGGGGAACGCGTTACTGCACGTGCGGCCAAATGCGGATAGGCGCGATTATGTCCGAAATTATGTCCGAGCTTTCAGGATATCAAAATCTCGAGTTGTATTATTAACGATTAAGTGTTCTCCAAGCGACCATTATCCTCCTAGGCTTTGGCACAGTTGCGCGACCGGCCTTGACCTTAAAATTGTCCTGTTTCAACACCCTCCCAATCTCCATATAGCTCTCGACCGCGACCCGAATTGGCCCTCTCGCTTCAACTGGTAATTGCTCGATTGCAACCTTGGTTTTCTCATACAAAGAAAACGCGTCCTTAAGAAGATGCTTACGTAGCGTCTCGATCTGTGCGTGGTCCGGTTTCTTCAATACCTCATCGTAACTCAATCCAACTTCAGACAACCATTCCAAAGGAAGATAAACTCGATCTATCTTAGCGTCTACTTGTATATCTCGCGCAATGTTGACGTATTGCAAGGCGACACCCATGCTGTTCCCAGCAGTGACTATGGCACGCTGTTCTTCGGCGGGCAAGGCGCTGGGATACCAGTTGAAGATGAGTTGAATACACATCTGAGCTACAGTGCCCGCTACGCGCTCTGAATACAAGCGCAAATCCTCCGTGCTCTTGATCAGGGGTCCCTTCTCGAAAGCAAGATCCATCTCGAAGCCGCGTAGAAGATCCTCCAGTGGTTGATGCGAGAGTTTAACGGCTGGAAGCTGGAGGAGCGCAGATTGTGTGGCAGCAGGAAAGTCCTCGCGAACTTGGTCATATACTGTAGACTTGGATGGAGAATCGCTATACGTATTGTTTAGGAACTTGCGCAGTTTCGCTATCCAGGCCTTGGCTTCATCAGCGGAGGAAGCATTGTCCACGAGATCGTCAGCAACGCGGCAGAAGGAGTAGAGCAGCAGCAGGTCTGCCCGTAAAGGTCCGGGAAAGGTTGCGGAGGCCAGATAGAAACTACGGCTCTTACGCTTGAGACGTTGCACAGCCTCGCTAAGGCCTATAAGGCGGGCATCATCGTACTTGGAGCATGGAGTGAGCAGAGCGCCCATCAGCGTTTTGGGTGATGGAAGCAAAGAGGGCTTCGCAAACATGGCCGGGAACGTGTACAGCACTGCAAGGGCATTGTCAAATGCTAATTGACCAAACACTATGAGGCAGTTGGTGACGAGGAAGAAGAGGGCTTCTTCAACCTCGAGACCGTCCCACAAGTGCACACCATATTTTGTACCTGTGTTGATTACCCATGTTCCTCTGCGCAGGGCTAGGGTATCGACAATCCAGAGGTAGAGCGTAGGAAGGATGACGGGTATCGCGGTGTTGGTCAGAGGAAGGGCCAGAATGAACTGATAGGCGAGACTCCTAGGTTTGATTAGTAGGTATCCGGATTGCAATAGCGATTGGCTTACCAGAGCATCAGCAGGAAGGGGCCGGCCCATATCAGAATGAGACCGGTATATGTACCCTTGCTGTCATCCTTGATGCAACGCCATCCCCAGGCGATGACACCCAGAAAGAAGACCTGGCCAATGCGTTTCGTGTATGCCCATCGGGTGTTGGACGCGCCACGTTCCGGACTTAGATAGACAGGCTGAAAGGTGGGCCGACTGAGGAGAAGGTACAAGACTGATGTATTGTATGTCTGCACGACAAAGAAGAAGACCTCTTCCAGTGGAATGTCAAGCAGCTTTGGACCGATAATGACATGGGCGGGGTAGCTCCAGATGCCGGTGCGGATAAGGTAGGAATCCCATGGTATAGTCGAGCCAACGGCAACCTGATGTGTTAGCACGAAGTATGTTGACGAGGATGCGCGTACCAACC